AATTAAACCTTTTATAGTAACGTATCCCACTTCTACTAAACATTTTATATGAATTATATGTCACGTATATAAGTAAGAGTTATGACTCTACGATCGTTTATACTATCGTTTCCCTATGATAATGACTCATTAAACTGTTCTAATGTTCAAAAATTGAATTCTGATTTCCATCATTATTAATACAGCTATACAGGTAAAGACGTCTGAACACTATTTGAATAGATTTTTATACATAGACTCTACGTCACCATTCGATAATCAATATTAACTTACACTATAGCCTATAATAGAGCCCATAAGGTATCGGGTTTGGCCAATAGTAGTCTTTAGTTCGTACCTTAATTTGTAGCCGTATTCCCGAGCTACCTGACGAGCAACTCATAAAAGCAATTTTATAGTTAAACTGTTTAGTTATTTTTAATGTTTTGAGCCTTATATTTTGGCTTATTGAGCCTTTGGAAGGCTCAAAAAATGCAATGTTTGAGGAGTTAATTCTAGTCGATTTGCAACAGTTTGGCTGTGTAAAACTGTAAAGAGTAGTGTTTAATTATAGGAAAAATCTGTTTATTTTTATAATTTGAGGACCCCTAATGAGTATTTTTGGGAAAAATAGGATATATTTGTGCCGTTTCGCCTGCTAATATGGACTGAAATGTACAGTACCGCCTATCACGAGAGTTTTTACAAAATTGTTTGAGCTAATTGGATAAATTAACGTGTCTCATTATGTAATGAACAAAATGACGTCATATATACGTAAAACACACGTAAAAATACAATAATAATTACTTAATTATTTAAAAATAGTGTCGGTTTCTCACTCACTGCTAGCGCCATCTGTTGCAGGATTACTAAACTAACGACGGTATAATAATTTTAATTTTTAATTTAATTCAGATTATCATGTAACCCAATTAATGAAAATAATTAAGAAAATTAATTAAAACTCTTATAACTACATTAATATAATAGTAATTTATAAAGGCATTATTAATTTCACTTTAATGTTAAAATATATTTAATTAATTTTTTTAAAATGCTTAAAACGTGTTTAAAATATTAAAACTTTAAATTTTATTAATTTAAAATGGTTTTATATGGGGAGATACAGATACAAGAGCGCCTATTTAAATTTACATAGGGTGCGCTAGAGTCGCCATCTATCATCGACTTCGTGCAACTGTTAAATAATTTAAATTCTGAAAACCTTTGAGAAATTTTAAATATTTATAAATATTTCAGCTTTAATTTCACTGAAGAATGAGAATTTAATTTGTTTAATTTCAGGCTCAAAGGCTCAATTTTTAATCAAATGAATCGAAAATCAGTTTTGATAATTACGATTTGTGATGAAATTAACTGAAATCTAATGCTAAATTTCATCAAAAATTTTTAAAATTAAGCTCTAATAAAGTGAAATTCCTTATCAAATTTCGCTTAAAAGTCAATTAAATTTAGCACTAAAATTAATACAATTTCTTATAAAAAGTAAGCACCAAAATTTCTGAATTTCACCAAAAGATAAATGAAATTCAACTGTAATTAAGTGAAATTCCCGATTAAATTTCACTAAATAATAAAATTTAAACGCTAATTAAGCGAAATTCGTGATTGAATTTCATTTTAAAAGTCAGTAAAATTACTAAATTTCATTAAAATATCAATACAATTTAACACTTATTAAGTGAAATTCCTGATTAAATTTCACTAAACAATACAATTTAAGCGTTAATTACGCGAGATTCTTGATTTAATTTTACAAGAAATTTAATAAATTTAGCGTTTTATTACGTAATTTTAATTATAACAAAGAAAAATTGTTTGATATGAAGGCATGTAGGCTTTCAGGCTGTTAACAGACAAATCGTCCAACTGAAACAATAAAAATAATGAACTTTCTCACGATATAAACTCTATAGGCTAACCTTAATTAGAACATTAGAATCGACGAGTCTACATCATAATATTTTTAATTAACTTTAATTATATGCAAATGAGAACGAGAAATGCCAGGATAATGAGTAATAGAAACACTGACCCCCCCTCTGTAGTTTTTACAAACGTCCCTCCTTTCGTAGCATACAAATTAATACATTTTCACAGAAGCATTAGTCTGAAAAGCAGCTAAATCTGTAGATTTATAACCGTTTAAGTGGGGTATAAAGTGACCCTCTTGCCAAAAAAAAACGCATAATTAATCACAGGTTCAAAAATTAAAAAGCTGACCCCTAACCTCACCATTCAGATCCTCATTAACCTTGAATTTTTCAACGTTGTAGGATGGGAGCAAAATTCATTATCTAACCTTGAAGTCGATTTTAAAAAAATCCCTAATAATATGTCCCTACATAGAGGGGTAGAGGGTTTTTTTTTTGGCTACGTAATGGGTACGATTAGCCCTTATCTATACAGCCTTATCGTGGAAGAATTTAAAGACAATAAATTAAAAAATAAATAAATTGTCACGTATATAAGTAAGAGTTATGACTCTACGATCGTTTATACTATCGTTTCCCTATGATAATGACTCATTAAACTGTTCTAATGTTCAAAAATTGAATTCTGATTTCCATCATTATTAATACAGCTATACAGGTAAAGACGTCTGAACACTATTTGAATAGATTTTTATACATAGACTCTACGTCACCATTCGATAATCAATATTAACTTACACTATAGCCTATAATAGAGCCCATAAGGTATCGGGTTTGGCCAATAGTAGTCTTTAGTTCGTACCTTAATTTGTAGCCGTATTCCCGAGCTACCTGACGAGCAACTCATAAAAGCAATTTTATAGTTAAACTGTTTAGTTATTTTTAATGTTTTGAGCCTTATATTTTGGCTTATTGAGCCTTTGGAAGGCTCAAAAAATGCAATGTTTGAGGAGTTAATTCTAGTCGATTTGCAACAGTTTGGCTGTGTAAAACTGTAAAGAGTAGTGTTTAATTATAGGAAAAATCTGTTTATTTTTATAATTTGAGGACCCCTAATGAGTATTTTTGGGAAAAATAGGATATATTTGTGCCGTTTCGCCTGCTAATATGGACTGAAATGTACCGCCTATCACGAGAGTTTTTACAAAATTGTTTGAGCTAATTGGATAAATTAACGTGTCTCATTATGTAATGAACAAAATGACGTCATATATACGTAAAACACACGTAAAAATACAATAATAATTACTTAATTATTTAAAAATAGTGTCGGTTTCTCACTCACTGCTAGCGCCATCTGTTGCAGGATTACTAAACTAACGACGGTATAATAATTTTAATTTTTAATTTAATTCAGATTATCATGTAACCCAATTAATGAAAATAATTAAGAAAATTAATTAANAAAAGAAACATATCTGAGTGATTTCTGGTGTTACAGCACTCAAAACAATAGATATTTCTGCGTTACAACACGCAAATTTTTCAATAATTTCTGGTGTTACAGTACTAAAAAAAAATACCACAAAAACAATAGAAACACTTTCTAGTATAGTTAATACTAGAAATAACCGAAATTTTTCAGTGTTTTCTGGTGTTACGTTATGGAAACAACTGAAACAATTCTCGTGCTTTATGGTGTGTTAAAAATACGCGAAAACAATTTGAAATTTTAATAAATTTCTTTCTCAACACACGAAATTTCATTAAACAATTTCTTAAAATATATTTTTGTACATTAATTAAAATTAATTAAAGTAACATTTCTTTCTTTTTTCACTTGTAAACCCTGTTGAATTTTGTTGAGTGTGGGGGGCAGCGATTTTCCAACTTAAGAATATCTTACTTAGCTCATAATTTGATACTTTTAGAACACATAAAATGAATTTTCTGGTCACATAATTGAGTTTTTTTTATTTATTTTTTGGCCTATGAATGTGACAAAGATATGAAATGTCTCATCCACACAGGAGCTACCACAAGGAACAAGAAGACAAAAATTGTTTTTTTTTATGTATTTTATGTATTTATACACAACATTTTACGTTAATTTTCTTTGTTTTCAATTTTTTTTTATAACACAACACCATTTTCTCACAATCTTTTTTTTTTACTTTTTTTTAAATTTCTAAACTACAATAGTGAACTGTTTCGCGTCAAATGTTCAACAAAAATGTATCGTTCAACATAAAGAAGAAGAGGACTTATTTTACATTCAGGACCTTGCTGATTATGCCCATGAGCCTTGTTGAATGTTTTTTTTTTTCAATTATATTTTTATATATATATTAAGGCCCCATATCTTTAACACAAAGAATTAGATCCCCATTGGGCCTTTATGTCACAAAGTCCCTGACTACAATAACAAAGTTGAACACCCCCCCTTCTACAGTACGAGTTTCTTCATATTCTAGAGCCCTCCTATGAGAACTACGTGTTGGCACATAAGATATAAACATCAGAAAAACCACTCTCTCTCTCTCTCTCTCTCTCTCTCTCCATGGGCACTCTTCAGCATGGTCTTGATTACAATGATCATAAGTACTGCACTTTGCCACAAATATGACTCTGATGAACAAAGGTGTGTGTATATATACTATACAAAAAATGATAAATGAGATGGTTTTTTTCCTTTTTTTTTATTAAATTAACACATTAACTCTGTCAGAAATGATTTAATATATATCTCTTAAATTTGGGGGAGTAGTGTTTTAAAGGGGGGGAGCGAGATGTGACGTTTCTCTTCTTTCACAAAGAAATCACAACACATAAACCTTTTTTTTTTCTTTTGTTTTTTTTCTGTTGTTTTAAGGGGGTTTAGGGGATGTGTGTTTTGTTTTTGTGTGTGGTGTCTTTCCAGAGAAATGATCAAAAAATTGTTTTACACGTGAGGGGGTCACTTGGCACCACTTGGTGTTTGACCATTGGCCAAACCGTTTGCATTTTGATTGTTTTCTGCGTTACGCTGTGAATTCTTTTTACTTTTCATTCTTCTGTTTTGAAACCATATTTTAACTTGCCTTTCTGTTAAGTTAAGATTACGTGCAAGTTCCCATCGTTTCTGTTTCGATACATAAGCGTTGAAGAGGAATTCCTTTTCCAGTTCCAGTGTTTGGAATTTGGAGTAAGGTTTGCGTTTCTTCCTAACTGTAACATTACCTGTCCACTCCAATGGATTGGATGTTAAAGCATCCACTATACATGAGAAAAAAACAAGAGAAAATACAATTAAGTTTAACAATAAAACATACTAAAATACAATTAAATTAAACAATAAAAACACCAAAAAAATCACGATTAAATTGCAATAAAATTAACATAATTTATGCGCGAAATTGATTCAATTCGCTTTCCTTTGTTAAAAATTACGTAACAATAGCTTCTCATTAACATAATTTATTCGATTTTTTTTATGAATAAATTATGCTAATCATAATAGAAGCTGAATAAATTAAGCTTAATTTACTATTAAACAACCGATTTAACATCGTTTTATGTATATTTAAACGTGAATTTTATAAAATTTTCAGCCTTTACTGTGCCTTAAAGGCTGTTAAAGGCTATGTTTGCAATTTATTCAGGAAAGAAATGTACAATTTAAAGTAGATTTATGTGTATTTAAACGATAGTTTTATAAATGATGGAGAACTTTTTAGCCTTAATTATGCCTTAACGCGTGAAACAAAGGCTACTGTATAATGGAAAGACTTTTGTAATTTATTCAGGAAAGAGACGTAAAGAAGTTAAGGAAAAATCAGGCTGTTGCAATAAGAGGGATCTCCCGTACGAGTTTTACGACTTTTTCCCCCCTACATGATGTGACAATTTCGACACTTGCTCTACTAATCCTTTCCCATCCGCCATACAATGGACTAGTCCTCCTAATGCTAATCTTTGTGATTTTTCCTAAACTATTGTGTAGCAAAGGAAAGATACTTTCCTCCTCTTAACTTCAAAATACTCCCCTAAGTCTAAGCCAAAAAAATCCCTAAAAATTCCCTCAAAAATCCCCGAAAAAATCCTAAAATATACTTTAAATCACACCAAAGGTGTCTTAAGTGACGATAACACTGTAAGTCCAGGGGGTGATTGAAAAAAAAAATTAATAAATGTAAGTATAGTTTAAATCTATACGGAGTTTTATGTATAAAGATTTTTAAAAGAGGAGGACTTTTGTTGAGTTTTATGCAAGAGGGATATAAAACTGCATCACTCTCAATGGAAACAATACGAAGTTTTGAATCATGTCGGGATATATGGGGTCTACAAAAATCAATACTTCGATTCGCTGTTTTCCTGCCAGGCATTGCATAGCAATGAAACATTTCTATATTCAATTGACCGTTTTGCTAAATCCTACGCCACGGATCCTTTAATCTTTAAAAGGTCAGAGGTCAAATTATGCTTAAAATTTATACTAGAAACATGGCGTTGAGTGGCTAAAACACGCATTTTTATACAAGATTTTCCAGACAATTCATGGCATTCGGAGGGGGAGGAGGATCGTTTCAGCACGCTCTTCCCTACACCATCGTAGTATCATCTATGCAATACTAGTTAACCTAATTCAGTTTGGCTTTAATCACGATTAAAGCGGTTTAAATCATTAGTTTAGGGGTGCTGATGAATTAAAATACCCGCATTTTTATCCTCTAGAAGGGGGAATTTAAAAAAAAAGAGAGTAGTAGAATAGGGAGTTAGAGGAGAAGAAAGAGTTTTAATAGTCGAAAAGAGCAAAAGAAAAAAGAAAAAAAAATCACCCTCAGTTCATGAATCACGAAAAATTAAGCTGGTGTTTTTAAGATAGAAGTTATCAGCTGCTATACAACGGCGTGTTTGTACCCGACAACTGCAATCGTGGCATTTTATAGCTAGTAAAAGTACCGTATATATGTGCTCCTTACAGCAAGGTCAGACACTACACTCCATTCTCATTGCTGCCGGAATACACCTTAACTCAACACGTGTTAACGGGTATGGATCAAGCCAACGAACATCCTCCAAACCAATTAACGTGGTAGTAATTCATTTACAAGCTTTGCTGGCATATTAAACACGAGATGTATTACATATAAAGTAGCTTGTATACACCCGTTATCTAGACATTTATCAGTAAAGAAAGAGAGAAAAAAAAGAGCTACGTCACCGGGGTCAGAAGTCCAGTGTAAATAAAGACACAATGGAGGAGGCCATAAACTTAAACCTGTACAGGGTTTTAACGACTATTAAAATAGTCCCCAATGTGGGGACGGGTTCATACACCTCCCCCGCTCTATATTAAAGTGGTTTTTATTGCCATTGGTGGCGTCGGAGAAGGTTTAAAAGAAGGAAACACTTACCAGCTCCTGCAGTCATGTATGGCATTGGTGCGTGGGTTTCGGCTCCTGCAAAGGGACGTAGAGAATATCCATCCGTGTGGGTGAAAGCCTCCATGGTCTGTCTCGTTCTGTCGTCGCTCGTGATGTACGGCACGGGCTGGGGTCCGTGAGCCTCCATGTGACTTGCCACCCTGCCGCCGTACGGTGCGTAGTTGCACCATGTTTGTGGTGCGAATGTCTGACACGTGTCCGCAGGTGTTACGCTGCTCGGTCCTGCACTGGGTAAGTCGTACGGGCTGTTCGACCATAGCTTGATTGGTGGCGGTTTTCGGTCGGCAGTCACTCTGCCAGGATGGTCATTGTAGTAGTATCCGGGTGCCATGCTCTCGCGCACATTACACAAGGTCTGATTGTACTGCGAGTGATCGAATGCTGCGTGAGTGTCCGAGGGATATCCCCACGTCTGACCGCTGTGGCTGTGACGTATCACACCAGCCGAAGTCGTGTCCACTCCTCCGCATTCGGGGTGGCTGTACGACACTGCCAAACTTGTAGCGGTCACTCTCTTGGCTGGAATGTGCAGCGGTCCCTGCTGTTGACTGGTGGCCACCGTGTCCAGGCTCGACCTACTGTTTGACGTGTCCTCGTATAGGGAGCCGTTCATCATCTTCTCCCGGTCCTATGTAAGAGAATCAGATCTTTTACATCACAACGCACAACGCACACATCAACAATCAACACGCGGTTGTGTCACGTGGCAGTCATTGTGCGCGACACCTCTCATCGAGGTGCACCACCACGTGACCTATGCTGGCCTTTAGTCAGGCTACAAATTGCTAGTGTGGCCGGGAGTATAAACTGCAATCAATGACGAATCGTCAGTCTGAATGTACGACTGTGTATCAACTGCTCAGCAACTCCTCGCTGCACTACCGAATGAACCCGCACCGGACACGAGTCTGCCAGCTGTACCGCCCCATTAGCGCCATCTAGTGACGGCTACCGTCCTTGGAATCGTCTACTGCTTCTTCTGACGTCATCGAGTCTGCTCACTCCCGGGTTCAAGTGCAGCGCAGCTTCATTCGCTAACAGATTGGTCGAATGGTCTAGGTGCTAGCATCTAAGCACATTTTCCCTTCGTCTGTTCGTTTGTCTAGCTACTCCTTACAACTTCCGAACTGCTCCACACGTCTGTAGCTTCCTCTACGACCGCAAACTCTATTATAAACTCGACAATCGTTCTACTTTAAAAATACTCAACACCTCGTCTAATTTTAGGATCCTGTCAACTCAAATACTTTCGAGCCTTCGTCTTACTTGAAAAATGGCTTTAAAAACAATTTAATTTGCTAAAAATAATTGAAGATTTGGCCCCATTACGCCTATGCCGGGGGGTCAGTAGATTTTAAAATCTACTGACCCCCCAACATAAGTGTAGTGGGCCAAATAGACTTACAATAAATTACTTTAGCCTTGTCTAGTTAATGTAAGCACATTAGAATCTGTCTTAAATCTACTATTTTTTTATTTTATAAAATTTCATATCCTTATAAAAATCTTATAAAGCCTTAAATAAGCCTTATAAATACAAAAATTGTAAAAATATAAAAATTAAAATAATTTGTAAGGCTTTTAAAGTATTAAAGCCTTTAAAATATTTCAAAAATACAAAGGCTTTATCAGGATATATGAAAACTATTAAAACTCATAAGGCTTTTAATGTATTAAAGCCTTAAAAATCTTTATAAGCCTTTAGGAATTGTAAGGCTTTAAAATAATTTATATATTTAAATTTGTTTATAACTTTATTATCCGCAGCAAAGACCTGCTAATTAAAATTAAGGCTCATAGACCTGATTATGGACCCATACTCGACAGGAAATAAAAAAACTTTTAGACTTGTAGAGGCAGTAAGGTATAAGTTAACATACAAGAGGCCCTTCCACTCCATCAAACAATAGTAAATTTAAGTGCTCGATGTTCTGTAAGGCTAAGCCAGAGTCTTAGCCTTATATGGCTTAGCCTCATAAATGTCTCATGGCCTCATAGAGTAGCTTCATAGGTGCCCATGGTCTCATGGTGTATCTGAAGCTAAAGCATAGCCTGATAGCTTCAAACAACACTTTAAGGCTTCAGAATGATGCCTTAAGATGCTTCTCTAGCTGTTCATAACCTTTAGAAACTCATTGAATAAATCTCAGCTTAGCCACTGAATAGCCTGAAACACACTTAAATGTTTATCAAAAAACTTTATAATTTGAAAATTAAGGCTAATTACAAGAAAATATTAGCAAATTTTTATGAAAACTCTTACATAAAAAGGCGGAAAGTAAATTACTCTCGATATATTTACATATATTGCTATTGATTGAAGACAATCGATTTCTATAAAAATTTCAACAGCAACTCGTGTATTTTATTTTACAATGACAATATTTAACAATCGATAACTCTTAAAACATTTATTCTAGGCTGAAAATTCAGACTTTTAAGGATATATTTTATCGGCACATAGCCTGAAAACTGGAAGTAATTCATACAATTTCTATAATTCATGTTCAAAGAAGGAACACAAAAGGCTATAGCCTCTGTTTTAAAGCAATCTAAGCATTTTTCTAAAGATTGCTACATTGTATAACAATTATAAACCGAGCCAAAAAGTTAGCCTTCGATAAGCCTTATTAACTCGCTTTCAGGTATCATTATTTGGCCTTATTCTCATTAATCGCCCTTCACGTAGCCTGATTATTTAGCATTCGGTTAGCCTCACAGCCTAAAGGAATTTTTTATACTTCGAAGACAACTAAACAAGAGATAAGAAAGGCTGTAGCCTTCCTATCAAAACAATGTATTATCGTAAGGCTATACAAGTAAATATAATTAGAACTAAATCAGAAACTAAGCCTTAATTTAGTCTCGAGTATAAGCCTGAATATGTTGTAAATATCAAATTCCAGACAGATAAACAAGAGGCTAGTCTCTATTTAACGGATACTAGCGTTATGACTATAGTTGCAGCCAAGCCAAGAATGTTTAAGCCTTATCTATAACCGAGTTTGTAGCCTGAACGAAGTCCTAGTAAACTTGAAAATTATAATATAAATCGAGTCATAGATGCATTACACAAGCCTGTTAAAGATTTTACGTGTGTAGTGACGTTGTAAAAATCTCACAACAGGCACGAACCTTGTAATAAATAATATATACATGAAGTTAATTAAATTTTAAACATAATTAAGGTAGCAAAACGGGAATTTCTGTAAGTAATAAGTCGAAGTTATACGTCTAGACACGCTTACGAACCAAGCATCACGCCTAGCTTAAAAATACTTTAAGTAGTTAGCATTGTATAATTGTATAACCTTCAGCCTGCAGGTGGTTGGCAGGGGGATTGAAAGATAAGTAATTCAATTCTACTCACCCTATGGCGAGGCCTAGAAGGTGTGGTTTCTGTAGCCCACCGGGTTGTACTTGACACAGATAATTGGCTAACTGCTGACGTCGGGCACGCCTCTGCATAGAACAGACCAAAATATATTAATTTCATAACACTTAAAAATGCACGCTTTAGTATAATTATTACGTCTTTTTTTATTAATTTGTATACTTCAATAATGGCTTTTATTACGTTCGAATGAACCAAACACGTGCTGTAAGTGAAATTTATACATTTCATCACATTTTAAATATTCTTTAATCTGTAAATTTCAATAATTAAAACGTAACAATACAATATATTCAATTGTTTCAATAAATTTGTACATTTCAACAATTGGATTTATTCTTGTGTATTTCAATAAACAAATTGCGTAACAATGAAATTACTCTTAAAAAGTTTCATTGTTACGTCATTTAATTTTATTGTTACGTTTTAAAAACAAATTTATGTAAATTTGTATATTACAATTTAACACAAAACGTAACAATGAAATAAAATATTTTATTTCATTGTTACGTTTCTTACGTAATAATTATTTTATTGTTACGTAATGTATTTTATATATCTATTACGTTTGTTGTAAATTATAAAACTATTTTAGTAATGAAACTACGTAACAATGAAACTAAACAATAAAAAAAAAGAACCATAAATTTGTACATTTCAACAAGTATATTATGTATATTTCAACAATAGATTACGTAATAATGAATATATAACAATAAAATATTTAATTACGTTTAATACACGAGCTTATTTGTTTCGGTTACAATAATTACAAATGGTAATCGACACGTAATCGTGACACGTGATTTTAGTTAGTACATTTCAAGCGATGAAATTGAACAATTTTTTTAACAATAAAACTACACATTTTCATTGTTGAAAACTACAATAAATCAACGTAAAGAATGGAATAAAATTGTAACAATTTAATTGATACAGAAAAATACAAATAAAATAAAAATAAATCATTAAAAAAAACGGAAACGTGTTTTATTATTCTATTAATATACATATATTAATTTTACTGCCATATTATTTTAAAAATAGAGCTATTAAATATTGATTTTATAGCAGAGATTTACATTATGTAACACAAATTAGAGTATAAAGATTATAATTCAAAATTTTCCTTTATAAAAATTCGATTTATACAATTAAAAATATCAATTTTAATTGTTAATTAAGCTTAATTTAATTATACACGATCTACACAAGCGTTCAAAAGTCAGTTAACCGTATATATTTTCAAGAAATTCAGCAATTTAAGGCTACTATTTACACTTTTTTTACAAGTTAACCGAATTTTGGGCCTATATATATTAGGGTAATTTAAATCATTCCTCGTTTAAAAATGGGGTAGCCTATAAATATTATAATTAAGATAATTAATAAACATAAATAGTAATAAATTAAATTAATTTTTTTTAATTATAATTAGGATGATGTAGGAGTGATTAAAATGATAAAGAAGATGAAGATGTAATGAAGATAGAAAGATAAATCCTTATAAATGATTTTTATAAACTAAAATCTAAGTAAGGCATTATATAAATAATTATAATAACAAGTTTATATATTTTAAATTATAGTATATAATAAGTATAATACCTGAAAAGAAGCCAGCACTTATAGGGTAACGTATCCCACTTCTACTAAACATTTTATATGAATTATATGTCACGTATATAAGTAAGAGTTATGACTCTACGATCGTTTATACTATCGTTTCCCTATGATAATGACTCATTAAACTGTTCTAATGTTCAAAAATTGAATTCTGATTTCCATCATTATTAATACAGCTATACAGGTAAAGACGTCTGAACACTATTTGAATAGATTTTTATACATAGACTCTACGTCACCATTCGATAATCAATATTAACTTACACTATAGCCTATAATAGAGCCCATAAGGTATCGGGTTTGGCCAATAGTAGTCTTTAGTTCGTACCTTAATTTGTAGCCGTATTCCCGAGCTACCTGACGAGCAACTCATAAAAGCAATTTTATAGTTAAACTGTTTAGTTATTTTTAATGTTTTGAGCCTTATATTTTGGCTTATTGAGCCTTTGGAAGGCTCAAAAAATGCAATGTTTGAGGAGTTAATTCTAGTCGATTTGCAACAGTTTGGCTGTGTAAAACTGTAAAGAGTAGTGTTTAATTATAGGAAAAATCTGTTTATTTTTATAATTTGAGGACCCCTAATGAGTATTTTTGGGAAAAATAGGATATATTTGTGCCGTTTCGCCTGCTAATATGGACTGAAATGTACAGCCTATCACGAGANCTGCCTGAAATGTTTGGATATGATGTCTTGGCACACTTCTATATCACTTATTGATATTTTCCTTAAACTTATTGAAAGGACACGTGACGGTTGACATAAGAAACAAATAACGTAAACTGAAAACCCAGCTCTTCCAGATTTTTGGAGAACGACTCCTATTTTTCAGCCTTTTCATGTCGGCATAAACAGGTTTTACAGAAATAACTCCAGATCTTATGACGAATGGCTTTCCGACAAAAGCCGAGAATTGACGGAAACTAAGAAGGTCGAAGATAAAAAACCCTACAAATTCTCAAGTTGCATTTTCCGTTTAGAAGAGTATTTGTGGTTTGTTCATCAAAAAGTCGTTCAGAAAGACTTGCATTTCTAAGTCCGTAGTCGTCACTGAGGGTGATGCATTGAAGTCAGATGACATCAGGGAGAAACAAAAATGTCAGATTCAGAGAATGACAACATTGACATTATTGGCCATTTCACATCAAAGTCGTGGACTGCTTTGAAGTCTGTAGAGCTGATGCAGATGAGGCGTAAAATATTTCGAACACTATTCACTTCTTTGTAGGTATTTTTTCTCATACCACGTATTTCGAAATTTTATGCCAGTGCACACCGACATAAATAGATATGTTCACAAATGTTGTGTCGTAAAAATCAGAGGTGACAATGACAATGTTAGTGCTCGACGACACACAACACCAAATACATCGCAAACTACAACTTTTAAGGTCTTCACGTCCTGAAAATAAAGTACATTCGATTGTTCATAAAAATCGACTAAACAGATCTAATACCGTGTTTTTTTTTCCATTTTCCAATCTGTTTATTTTTCATAACTCGAAAGGAAAAAATTTTTAACAACTTAAATTTATTTAAATTAAAATTTGATACATTAATTATGTATACAAAATTAACGTGAATAATTTGTTAAATTTACTTTATACAAAATATCTTTGTAAAATATATTTATTACTGATTCATCTGTCTTTCATTCATATTATGGTGTATATAGTTACTTTTTTGGAGGTGTTATATATATAACAGAAAAAAAGTATGAAAATCAGTCAAAAAATAACCCTCTTCTAGACTTTGCATTTTTTGGACTTAGAAGATATTTAATTGTTCACAAATTGTGCAAAAGAAATTCACGGGTTTTTTTCTGTATGTATGGGTGTTAATAAGTGTGTGGGGGCACGAATTTCTTCAGTCTCTTTGAAACTTAATATCTCTTGTACTTTTTATCGAAAATTTCTTAAAACTTTGTAAGAATTTTTGTACAGTTGGAGATTGACACTGCTAAATTTTTGTGTTTAGAAGTCGAGGAAAGCAGATATAAAAAGGTGGCCGTGTGTCATACCTCGAGTAGAGTCGTTCTCAACGACAGTATTACTTGTTACAATTTTTTTATAAACTCTTGCTTACCCTGAAAATTAAGCTCTTAGCCGTTTTATAATAAATAAAAATGTAAAGATGTTTTATATAAAATATCATAACGGATGGCGTCACAGACGTGTTTTATTGTTGCCGCGAAAGTTATGCAACTCGCTGCTGGATTTTCTTATATTACAAATAACTTCTCAATACTTCGTGAATATGTATGAAGTAAATTTACAGCATTAAATAAATAAATAATTTTTATATCCGAGAAATATTGGAACATCCGAACTGATTATTTGTTCTTTGTTTGCATTTTAGAAAGAATAATAAACTTTGTAAATATAACTGATGATGTTACTATAGAAATTGTATCCCAAGGACAATATATTCTGCAAATATTCTTTTTTTTGAGGTAGGTTCATAAATTTTGCTTCGTAGTTTACAATATATAGTATAATTATTTCGTAATTTATTTTAAAATTTAACTAATTTTGAGTTGTTAAATAATAATTAAATTAATTTAAATATTATGCTTATAATGAAATGTAAATTAATAAAAATATTTTTCAATTTTGTACAGCGCATTTTTAACATTCTATCTACGTAGAAACGATGAAGAAAACTCTATATCATATTACTTTATTTTTTATCAAGCGATACACAAGGTTAATTATAATTTAACTTTTTAATTTCATTTAATAAAATTAAACGTTAAATATTATTAGTATATTTTCCATTTTCTATTAGATTGACTATTCCTTTGCTTTTCATATTGGCTTTCTTCATAATTTTGCCAATTTGTGGCGAAGGACCACACTGGGATCTCGTATACGAAGAAGCACAAAGAGTTGAACAACACTGGTGGAGATACATTCTTCATGTTATAAATTTAGGCAACATTAAATCAACTGTAAATTGTTTAATATTCTTTAATGCAATTAAAATGCTATTTAAGTATATCTGAAAATTCATTTGTATTTACAGTTTACCTTATACACTTGGTTTTTTAACGTATTGATGCAATTAACTGTAATCACAGTTCCTTTGTTATACATTCATGTCAGGTAAGACTTATTATATCTTTATAATTTCACTATTCGTCAGTTTAAACTTTGAAATAACGAACAGCTAGCGCTTATTGGTCGATTACATTTTAAATTGTCCAATTAACTCGTTTCTTGAGTTTTAACACGAAAAAAAGCGAATTAATTGGTTAATTTAAACATAAAATGATACCTTAATTTATAAAAGTGAAATGAATCAAAATACCAATTAGAACACGAATTTGTGTCGCCGCTGTTGATTGGTTGTTAGTGTTTTTAAAAGGAATTTTACGTTTTTAAGCTTAAAATTACTTAATTTTCTTAAATTTAATTGGATTTTACTTAAATTCAGCTAATTTAGTAGCTGATATAGCATTTTAATTTTAACATAATTACATTTTACCCTATATACAAGTATAAATTACATCAAAACATTTGTAGTGTTTACTTCATAAGTAGGCATTTACAAGGCATTTTCCTATATATACAGCTAAATATATACTCAAAAACACTGCACAACAATGTAGCTTATAGGCCGAAAAATCGAATCCTATATAAATTGAGGATTAAGTTTACTAAATTTTGAAGAAAATAAGCATTTTTCAATGGGGAGGTGATTTTTATTATTTTAATACACATATTAAACATACCACAGAAGATTTACTGTAGATTCTAAAATGGTATACAGGTAGGAATATTTAGTAGCGTGCGGGATTAAACAGAATAAAAGGATAGATGCTGTAATTTTCGTAGATACCGGAGCAAACAACCAGTTCTGAACTTCATTAACTCGCCTAATTACTTATTATCTATTAACTTCTTAATTAACGCATGGCTAGTTCCGCACTTCTGGCTCCCCATTAATCACCATTGATCGTATCTTCAGTCAAGCCGCAGGTAGACCGAGATTAAGACCAGTCTCTCGACTTAATGAGAAACATAAAGCGAATCGACTGGCTTTATCTCGAACCCACTCCATTCTACAAGCACGTTCGACCCCCCCCTCTCTCTTCTACCTTCTTTGTTTTTCTCTAGGAGAACTTTTTTTCTTACTTATTGCTAACACTCCATTAATGATTATGCCATGCTGAAATTTTGTGTTGAAAATTTTAAAATTTATAATGCAACCCTTTCTAATTATTAAACCCTCTCCTCGGGGATAATAACAATGTCTCATTTCCTTCGTTTTCGTTATACTCGTTGATACTTTATGGGGGGTAGGAAAAAGGAATTTTTAGAAGAATTTTTATGGTCTTTCCCTTTGTTTAGGGATTTTTAGAGAAATTATTTATTGTTTTTGAAAGTAGGGATAAGGTTTATAAGTCTGCCTAACAAAACAGAACTTGTATGTTATGTAAAGTAAAGGCTACATCTATTGCCCTTAGAGATTAGCCTATTTAAGGCATACTACACTAGCCATAATGACATCTGTTAAGGATACATGTGTTTCCTTACAAGATAAAATCTTTGAAGGACATTTATAGCTTTTTGTAAGGAACAAAATCTACGAGTCATATCCAAAATAGCAAAGGAATAAACCCTTTAACTAGCCCTCACATACCCTAATTTATCGTAAGCTATAGGCCCTATAGATATAACTTAAATATGTTTATTCCTTAAAGTACTGAACTTATACAGAGTATATAGGACTTCGTACAAGTATAAGTAGCCTACTAAATATATCTTTCTTATAGTAAGTCTACAGTGTATGGTTTCTTAGACTAGAGAAGAAAGAAACCAATTATTTTCTGGTCCTCCATAAAAATGAAAGTGAATCAGATTTAGATTTTTATACTTAGTATAGAAGGGAAATTCAGCATGAACACTTTCTGAAAGCCTATTTAAGATTCTTATAAAGATTTAACCTATCGAAGTTATTTTTAGACTATAAAATTTTATATGGGGTTACTTCATGCATAAACGATGATGAAGAGTTATAAAAGAAAAGAAAAAAGGTATTTCTTCTTTCGTATCTTATTTTTTAAAATAGAAAAATAGAAGATTAAAAATTTAGCCTGTTAGAAGGCTAACGATATCATAATTCACTAGAAGAATTACGGAGAAAGACCTTATCAACCTCCCTTTCTACGATCAAAAATGGGGTCTTAACATACGTTATGAATATTTAGATAATATAAAAAGTACAGTTTAAGGACAATATTTTTAATAAATTGGCTAAGAAAATGCAGGATTTTATTATTAAAAAATAAATAAAATAAAATAAATTTATAGTATTTTATTTTTGGTGACGACGTGTTTGAATGGTAAAGTTCAACCGTATAGGAGTAGAAACTGTAGAGGGGGGAAATAAAAGGTCTTCTCCAACATTTTATTGTCTTTGTGTTCCAATTTGTGTGAGGTTCAGACTACCGGACCATGATAACATCAGCCTGTACAGAGACAATTCGATAGATTTTTAAGGAGAAGAAACTGCCCATTCCTTCCCTTATGGCCTAGGATAAGGAGTATTTCATTAAATATACAGCTGAGACATCTACTCTCTTTTTACTCGCACAACTGGTAGCCATTTTGGCTTCGTTTCACATAAAAATTCAAGTTAAAAAAAAAAAAAAAAAAAAAAAAAGAGNTTGAATTTCTTCTTAATTTAATTTAAATTCTAATAAAACCGAAATTTTTAGAAAAATCTATAATAAATTATAATAATTTATTCATTTTACTTATTAAGAAACTCCAATTGGTTCATTTTAAATTTAAATAGACTTCCCGCTAAAAAATTAACCAATAATCTTGCTACTTGAGCTTTCAATCAATGAAAACTTTAGTTGATTGGCTGTTAGAAAGTCAAAGCTAAGCACTGATTGGAGATTGACTTTTAAAAATGTTTTCGTTATTTTTAAGAAATTAAACAAATAAAATTTAAAATTTAAATTAAATTTTGAATAAATTAAAAAAAATAATTTAAAATCTTCATAATTGGATCTCAAATTTCATTAATTAATTTTATAATTTTATAAATTACTTTTTTACGATCAGAAAGACCCTTAAAAATATCATAAAATGTCGAAAATATATAATTTTCTACTAGAAACATCTAAAGAAGTTTAAAATTTCAAAATAAACCAATCAGCGCTCTTTAAAACTACTATTCTAACGTGTATGAACGCTGATTGGTTGTTAAACATTTTCAAAAAACTGCTCTTCATCGTCAATTGGTTAAAATGCCAATCGACGTTTCTAAAGTCGACACGTTGATTGGATAGCGTGTAAACGTCAAGAAAATTTGAAAATTAAGCGGTAAAACATCAAAATATCTACAAAATTTAATGTTTTTAAATTCAATTTTTTTTTTAATATAATAATTTTAACAAAAAAATAAACTTAAAATTTAAAAACAAACCAATGAGCGCTGTATAAAAACTACAATTCTCGAGTATATTGAGCGGTTTTTGAAACGTGTTTCATGTTGATTGGTTGTTACGTTTTTTCAAACTTATTTTCGATCGTTGATTGGTTAATGTTTCTAAAAAAATTTTTAAACTTGAAACGATGATTGGATATCACTTAAACGTGAAAAAAATTTGAAAATTATGCTGTAAAATACTGAAATTGAAGTGTTTTAATTAAATTTTTTTTTTGTAATTTTAACAAAGAAACTTCAATAAGAGCTTAATGTGTAGGTTTTTTTTAAGATGTTGTTATTTCTTCAGATTATTTCCGTTGAGGAAGAGAGTAAGTTCCGGAATCTTTCATTTCCTTCTCGCTGTTTCTTGAGATAAAACCTACCGACTTTGTTTACTTTCAGGCCCACTAGGGGGTCGTCAAATTGACGTTTATAGCAGCTGCTCACCCTTCATCTTGGCTCGACCTCATCTCCTACCAATCGATTCTTTTCTTGTCTCAAGAAAAGAACTTCTTTCTTCTTTATCATACACCGCCCTAATCTTACTTCTGCAGTTAACATGAGGGCTAGGGCTTTAGTTGCTTACACTATAAAAGAATACCCATTTCGTCCAGCTTTGTTTTTTTTTCTTGTCTTTCTTATCCCTCCTTCCTTTATTTTTAGGGGGGGTTTGATTTATGAAAATGCAACTTATTCCTCCCCCGCAAGACTGTTTAAAGTGGTTCTATTTTGGAAAGAGCTAATTCTAATTCTTATACTAAATAATTCTTTAGAGTTTAATGATAGAAATGTCTGACTCGTGGCCTTAGAAACGGGGTTAGATTTGATTCTATGCTTAAAAGTAAGGCTAAAGAGTAGAGATCCGACTTAATTTTCCTGTTTAAAATAAGGGCTAAACGTCAGACTTTAAAATAGTAGTTAATTAAATACCAGAATCAATTCCGTGCCTTTAAAAGGGGGATAAATCGAGTGCTGTATTTAACTCGTTGGTTTAAAATTGAGCTAAATTAACACCAGTTTTGGTTCCATATTTTAGAATGGAGCTAAATTAAACAGTAGAATCAGTTCTGTGCTTAAAAATAGGAGTAAATTAAGTGTGAAATGTAATTATATGCTTAAAACTCTTGATGTAATGGTGTCAGACTTAATACTGTGCTAAATAGGAATAAGTTAAACAGAAAGGTCAAAGGTTGATTATTTTTCCCCCAAAGAAAAAGAGGAGTTAAAACTCCAGATTTAAAACCAATTTATCATTATTTCAGTGACATTTTAGACCTAAAAATTCTTTATTTTATGGCAAGAAAAATATGTTAAACCTACGTAAATTTAACTATATGGATTAAAATAAAAGAAGTGTTTAGTAGGATTTGCAATCGGATAGTCGCACACATAACCAAAGATGAGATTTTAGGACTCCTATTAAAAGAGATTTAGCAAAGAATATTTTATCGATAGTATCCCACTAAATTGACAATTAGCCCTTCTAAAACTCGAATGACT